CCCACCAGGTAGCTTGAATATTGATGGGAGATGAATTACACATTCGCCATCGAGTCTCTTTTTGTTTCTGAAAGCAGTGATTTGCAACAGACAAGATTGAGATGAGACAGGTTGCCAGTGTTACATTCCTCATATAAGGGCCAGTCAAAAGTTCCCAGAATTTCGTGGTAACTCTTCATTAGTACAATAAAATTAATTTACTACTATTACATTTTTTACTACCGGAAATAATAATAGGCAGTGTGACTGTGGATGAATGTTTCGAAAAAAAAGCACAGAGGACCCGATATTTCTTGAGACAATCGTTATTGGTGACGAGACCTGATTGTGCTCTTACGACCCGATGGCAAAGATGCAGTCATCTGAATGACACAAAATTTCCTCTCCTTGACCTAAGAAATCATATCATGTCAAATCCGAAACAAAAGTTATGCTGATTGCGTTTTTCAACAACGAGGATATGGTGAATTGTACCAGCTGAGCAGCTGATAAGCTCTCAGCTCTATAGGCCCTTTGTAGGTGCAAGTTTTGAAAAAGACTGAGGGAGGTAATCCGAAAAAAAAACGTTCCGCCAAATGGCATGGAGGACAGTTACTGCGTCACGACAACGCTCCCTCCTGTATATCGATTGCTGTGCAGATGTGGGTTGCAGAAAAGAACATTCCTCTTCCCCACCAGCCTCCCTACTCACCGGATTTAGCACCATCGGATTTCTGGCTCTTCACCAAGATCAAAATGGATCTCAAAAGCTAACCGTTTTGACACTGTAGAAGATATCAAAGCCAACGCGATGGCTGAACTTTAGAAGAACTTTTGATCACTGGACTTTCATCTGTGTTTCCAGTAATGACTGCAGCGATGGTATACGATGCAGTATACTTTGGAGGCTATTAAGTAAATGTGTACCTGTATTGTGGTAATAAAGAATTACAACGAAATTCAGGAAACTTTTTGACTGACTTTTCGTATATAGTAAAAGATACATTGATAGTTAGGCCCTCGGCGCCACAGGTTTCGGATTCGACTCTCGATATATTTGTAGTGGTTTGGGATCCACTTTAAACATTAGGTCCTCGTCTAATATGACTACTACTACTACTATACCACACCACATATCACTGAGTCCAGAGCTGAGTTGCCTTTTACATTTTGGGAATGATGTGGGGATAAGAAGTCTGATTGGGCTCTGTGACGCTCTATAGTCACATGAGACCGTGACCTACGGCTTAAAGTGGATTCCGAACTATTGAAGACATCCATGGCACCGTCGGGATTCGAACCTGATACCTGTGGAACCAAGAGACAGAGCGCTAGCCACTCGGCCATCAGGCCCCCTGTTCTAATATGACTACAGAGCGTTGGGCACTGACAACCCTGTCCCTTAAAAAATTTTAATTCAAATTTCTCCTGTCTTGAAATTTGCCAGCCTTGGCCCATCATGGGACTGTAGGGTAAATGAAGTAGAAGAAGAAGATCATTAACAGTTGAATATATTTTTATTTAATTCAAAGATACATAAACGCATATATATACATATATTATCTAATAAAAGTAAAGCATTCGATCCTTGACACTAACATTTATAATATTTTAGAATTTTGTTCTTGTTTTATAGTACAGAAATTGAACATATAGTTTAGTGAGTGCAAAAAAAGTTATCCATATAAATAATTTTTTTAATAACATTTTTTTCAAAAAAACATTTAGACATTTGTCTTTGATGCCTTAAGACAAGCGCGGCACCGACGTTACTCGCTTAGCACTACCCAGGAGGTGCGTGTAGCTAGAAGATAAGCCACGGACGCGGAGTAACAATACCCCACGATCCTATTAGACCGGAACCTACAGTTTTAAAGAGGATTCCGAACCACTACAAACATCCATGGCACCGCCGGGGTTCGAACACAAAACATGTGATACCGGGATCCAGAGCGCTAGCCACTCGGCCATTCAAGCTAAAAAAATTCAGTTATTCGACCTGGTATATGTATATATGTCATCATCATCAATGGCGCAACAGCCCAGTGTGGGCCAAGGCCGTCTACCTACTGGCAGATTTCGAGACGAGAGTTGTTTTTTTTTTTTTTTTTTACGGGGTAGGGTTGTCAGCTCTACGCCCAACAGTCATATGAGACCGGGACTTATGGGTTAAAGTGGATTCCGAACCATTACAAACATTCATGGCATCGCCGGGACTCGAACACGAAATCTGTTGTACTGAGCGTCAGAGTGCTAGCCACTCGGCCATTCAGACCCCCATCTAAATATGTACCTATATATATATATATATATATATATATAAAACCCTAAAATGAAAGTGAAAATTTCAAATGAAAGTGAAAACTAAAAAAAAAAAAAAAAACTCATTGAATATTGATATTGATATATGTACCTATATACATATATATATATATTATAAAACCCTAAAATGAAAGTGAAAATTTCAAATGAAAGTGAAAATTTCAAATGAAAGTGAAAACTAAAAAAAAAAAAAAAAAAAAGAAACTCATTGAAGCGAAATACAAGAAGCTTATAACGTAACAACAAAATGTTCATAATAGATCGAAAGTGGAGGAAGAAACCTCTAGGCGATTTCGCTAATGACGAATTCCATTTCCTTTTGCATATAAAAAAAATGATCATTATTGCAAAGTGTTAAGAGATTATGCTTACAAGCTTTCTAAAAATAAAGCGATTCAGATTTATCTGATGAACAATATTCAAAACTTTCGAATTATTAATCCGATTAATAATGAGAAAAAAAAATTTGGGGGGGAGGAAACAATTTTCTGAAAGTATTTCTTCTAAAATTAGAAGTAATCAAAATATCTTAATGGTTTTAGTAATCTCCGAATCATTCAAAATATTTTAAGGTGATTTGTATAGGAAAAAAATTTAATACTTTAACATTTATTTTTGCTTTTAATCCTATGCTTTGAAGTAATCTATTGTCAATAAAAAAATCTGAATGCGTAAAATGAGTTGGGTTTCATAAAAGGATATTCTTCTTATAAAAATAATTTTGATAAGATTTAAACTGAATAAATGCGCATAAAAAAGCATTGTTAAATGTTAAAAGAAATTAAAACATACTTTAATACAATCGGATTTTTAAATTTATTTTTGTTTTTAATTCTTGGCTCGTTGTCTATAAAGAAATCTGGGGACCTGATGGACGAATGACTACAGCTCTGAAGCTCAATTCGTCAGTTTCGAGTCCCGGCGGTACCATGGATGTTTGTATTGGTGCGGAATCCACTTTGAACAGAAAAGTCTCATTCTAATATCACTGCAGACCATTATATCTCTACCATGCAGACATCTCTACCATGTAAGAAACCATCTTGTGTTTCGAAATCTGCCAGTAGGTATACGACCATGACCCACCATGGGTTGTTGGGCCACTGATGGTAATGATGATGGTGATAAAGAAATCTAAATTAATAAAAGGTTTCGCATTGTAAAAAAAAAATAAAGCCATCAAAATTAATGGACTGATAAAAAATATTGAATTTATTAAATAATACAGATGTATTGTTTCATTACGTTTAAAAAATCAAATTAACTTTAGAATTCTTTTATATTTCAGTTTAAAATAAGTAATTTTTAATGTGACTCTTTTTTTGCCAATTATTCATCGTCATCACTGGCGTAACAGCGCCATGATATGTCATGGTCGTCTGCCAATTGGCAGATTTCGAGACCAGTGATGTTTTCTTTATAAGGAGTAGCGTGGTCAGCCCTACGCCTAACGCTCTACCAAGACTTACGGTTTAAAGTGGATTACGAACCACTACAAATATCCATGGCATCGCCGGGACTCGAACCCAAAACCTGTGGCACCAAGCGCCAGACACTCGGCCATCATTATTATTAAATTATAATATCATACCTTGCCAATTATTATTAAATTATAATATCATAACTTGCCAATTATTATTAAATATTATAATATCATACTTTGCCAATTATTATTAAATTATAATATCATAACTTATTCTTACTGAAAATTTATTTATGCATTAACAACTTAAAACTTCGTCAAAGCAATTAGAACTACTAAAATATTATAAATATTTTTTACTATATTCACAAGGAATAAATCTTTGATTCAGATTTGTAGCAGAACCAACGTTTTCGAGGGTATATCACCGAAAGACACTGGGAGATTAAATTAAAGATAATGGAATTTGATGTGTATCTGTGCTAATCATGAGGAGAAAAAAAGAAAACGTCGATGTTCTTTAAACTGATTTATAGATAAATGTTATATAATTGGTTTTCCTAATTTTATTTATAATTTATTATTATAAATAAATTGTTAAAATAAATCTCTTTTGATTTAATTTTAACATTATTTATAATTACATTTACATGCAATTTATAAAATACATACTTTTCAATCACATTTATTTTCGGGTCCTAATTAAAGATAATACGTATTCAAATTTTTTCTGTAAATATATTATCGTAATTTTAAATAATTACTTTAAGTTAATAATAAAAATGGGTTCTTTAAAAAATAATTTTGGAAATGTAATTTGTAAACATAAAAAAAATAAAATAATCAATAATAAAATAGTTGAGAATAATTATTTAAGAATATCACTTCAATTAAACTTAGTGATGTATGACAAGGCTTTTTGAATACGTATTTTAATAAATAAAAGTTGATAAATACCTTTGAAATTAAAATAAAAACACACATTAATTCATTTAAAAATATAATTTTTTTTCCCAATACCCATACAATTGACGCTTATGTAACAATCACGTAAAGGAAAGAATTTTAAACTACAAACAATTTAACAGCAAAAACAAAAGCAGTAATTTAATTGTTTAATTTCATACGAGAGTGTTTATATTTAAATTAATGAAAAAAAGTTAAAGTAAATTATAACATTGAATAATTTTGAAAAAAATTTTTCTCTTAATGGTTTAAATATTTTTTTATTATTTATTATGTTTAAATTTTTTAAATATTAAATATTGTTTTGCCAACGGCCATAAAATGCTGAATATACCGGTTCTCGTTAGATCACCGAAGTCAAGCATCATTGGGCGCAGTCAGTACTTGGGTGGGTGACCACCTGGGAACACCGCGTGCCGTTGGCATTCACAAATTTGGGACGTGAATGGCCGAGTGTCTAGCGCTCTGGCGCTCGGTGCCACAGGTTTCGGGTCCGAATCCCGACGGTGCCATGGATGTTTGTAGTGGTTCGGAATCCACTTTAAACTGTAGGTCCCGGTCTCCTATGACTGCAAGAGCGTCACGGAGCCAAAGTCAGACTTCTACCTACGGGTGCTCCATCACAACAGAAGCTGTTTCCTTCCCCTTCAATCATGAGTACGTATGGGCTCATGGGCTTGACCAGCCAAGTGGGATCAGAAACAACAACAAACATATTTCTTTTTTATACAATTTTTGATTTGAGTAATTTCCACTTTGATACAATATTTAGATAAAAACACACATACACACAAAAAAAAACAAGTTTGATTTAAATGTAATTAAATAGTATTTAAAACACAACGCAATCTGAAAAATAAATGTGTGTATTAAATAACGCTTACATCGTTTTCCTCTTAACTAATAAATACTTAAATGGAAATATATTATTTTTAAAATTAAATAAAAACAGCGCCCAACTCTTTGCCCAGTGATGCAAAAAGTTGGGCACTGTAACTTGCGCCGGTGGGTTAAGTTTCCAATCCATTGGTTGGGTCCGTTGCTGCCACTGCTTTATAAACGAGTAGATCCGGTGGAGATTGTGACACGTGTCTCGCATCGGCATTAAAGTTGCTTGTAGGAAATTTTCCAGGCTTTCTTCAAGGAAAATGAAAATGCAAGGCAGTTACTCTTAAGTCCACCTGTAAGGAAGTCTTTTCATTATTTGTCGAAGAGCTTTTCATGGTACATATTAGTGGAACACGAGGTTCACTGATGTACAATAAGAACAAAAATAATGAGGGTGATACGACAAGAAAAAAATTCAATGAATATTGCTAAGTCGAATGTTTAAATGTTTATATAATCATAAACGAAAATCATATTCGACAGATATGTTGTTGTTTCTTATCCCACTTGGTCGATAGCAATATCTAGACTAAGTGCATGATCCCGTGTTGTCTTATGGAAGGAGGGGGCAGCTTCTGCTGTGATGGAACACCCGCCCGTAGGTAGAAGTCTGACTAGGCTATGTGACCCTGAAGGAGGGCAGTGCCTTCCGGGAGGACTATTTTCAGGGGGAACTATCCCGTATTTGCGTATAGTATGCGAGAAATCCAGGAAAACTCCCCCAGGTAGGCAAGATGCTGAAAATAACAAACGCCATAGACTCTCCTTGATTTTGGAAACAATGTCTACAACAATGTCAACTATACGCAAATGGCCATCGACAGATATAGTTATTTCTGTTGAAAATTGCACATAGTCTGAAACTTGTTTATGGATTAAAATTAACTTTTTAAACAAAAAGAACTTATTCAACAGAAAGTAATTGAAAATGTTTTGAAACGGATAATGCACAATGTTAATTAGGAGGGAGGGGGGTTATGAACAGTTTCAAGGAATTTCAAAAGAAAGATTTTATATGTTCAAGAAATTTAATTTAATAGTATACGTTTTGAATTTTTATACAGATTTCTATGAAAATCTATATACAGGTATATACACAGTCCAGTCACACTAATGTGACCGACTGTCAAAAGCCAGAATATACACTCTTGTATATTCTGGCGTTAAGTGGGAGCGTGAAATATGGTATTTAAGTGGTATTAAGTGGAATTCTTTATATACACTCCACTGCAATATGCTGCCACCTGCCTTTTGTGATGGGTTATTTCACGTTGAAGTCGAAAGTAGGTGATGGTCACATTAACGTGACTGGACTGCATGTATATATATATATGCATTTCTGAATCTTTATACAGATTTATAGAGATGTCTATCTAAAAACTTACTGTGCAGATTTATACACATTTCTATGGGTATATGTGTAAATTTACTATAGAAAAATACTCTTCCTTAAATAAAACAAAAACGACTCTCATTATATAAAAAAAACCCCTTTTATTTTGAATAAGTTGTATATCTAAATGCGTACAAAACACAATTAGTTTAATCAAAATTGCAAAAACTGAAAAGTGTTTATTAGCTCTGAACGCTGCAACGTGTATTCTTATATAACTGAGACTTTACTGTTTTTAGGCAACTCGTGATTAAAACGGGAACTACTCATTCTTTATCAATTGAGATATTGCTCCAGTTTTCTCTAATAATCCTTCAGTAGGAGTTAATGGTGGATTTTATTAGATTGATTGCTGACTTGGCATCAAGCAAACTGCGCCGTTTCAACTGTGTAATAAAAACTAACTTGGCTTCATGCCAACTGTGATATCTCAACAGAGGATCTTGCGATGGCAGAAGACCTTGCTGTGACCCAATAAGGTGCTTCATACTGGCAGAAGAAATTCTTGACAACCAATTGTGTGCCTCCTGGTGGTTGCATATAGTGCTCGTGTAAGCCAAACTGTTAAATTTAAAGATTACAGAAAATTCTTTCTTCTTAACCATCAAAATATAAATAGAAATTATTTAAAATTACCATGGCACAAGCCAACCTGTTTAATGTCATCGTGTTATAGGCATATATATCTTCATTACTTTTCGTATTTATAATGTACTCAAATGTATTATCACAATACTTTAAAAATCTTTAATATACTTTCTTAATTGATTCATATACAAATGCTAACCTTAAATTGCAAACATTTCAAGAAAATAAGAGAATAAATGTATATAATAATTAGAATAGATGTATATAATTCCGTACAGAATATCTCGTATATTCCAAAAATATTTTTGTTTAAAGGAAATAAATAAATACATTAATTAATTAAAAATTTATTATTAATCATTTCATCATCATAACTGCCCGACAGCCCGTTGTGGGCCTTGGTCTTCTTTAAAAGATCCATCCAGACTGTTCTCCTCTTGGCCGTGGACCTCCAGTTTTTAATCTTAATAGCATTAAAATCAGAGTCTACACAATCGACTCATCTCTTTTTTGGTCTTCCTCTTGGTCGTTGTCCAAAAGGACCTTCAAAGCAGCTCTATCACTTTGCATTCTCATGAGAAAACCGGTCCATCTCATTTTGTTTAGTTTAACAAATTTTAGAATGTCAATATCTCTGAAAAGTTTCTAAAGTTCAAAATTGTATCTTCTTCTCCAATTTCCTTTGCCATTGATACCACCAAAAATAGTTCGTAGCATTTTTCTTTCAAAGGTTGCCAACATTTTCTCTTCTCTTGCTGATAATGACCATGTTTCAGATGCATTAACCATTCACTATGCCAAATTATAAACTTCTTAAATTAATAATTAAATATTTACCAAATCAAAACTTACCAGTAGCAAAATGTATTACAGGAATCTGAATTTCTATTTTTTTTTTCTTTCCAAATTCATTCAGGCATTTCTGTTATAGGAAAAATAGTTTTAAATTACCCTCGGTAGTTTATTGGAACAAATTAATAGGAAATCGAAGATTAATGTGTTTAAAATATTATAGGCATTTCTATCGATAAAAAATTAATTATTATTCAGCTTAACTAAATTTTAAAAAGTGTTTTGTTTCAAACCATTAATTTGTAATCACTCACTGTAAAAAGAGGATAAATAAAACCAGAGAAGGATGGAAAGAGAAATAAAAAATGTTTCCTTTAATCTTTTTCAACAGGAAACCAATTAGATGCATAAGCCTCTTACCTGATATTAAATTAATGGTTGAACAGTCAACAGATTTTTTTATCAATCCAACTAATAAATTACTGGATTATATTCTCCTGTTTAGGGAAACGAGTTAAAAGAATTGACTGATTCACTAAAAGAGACAGCTGTATAAGAAACCAGATCTAAAGAAGAAAATCTTTACAACACGAATTAGTTCTAATTGACGTTTCATTATAGAATAATTTATCACACTTGTTTTTTTTTTTTCCTGTAGTAAAAGGCACTCTAATAGCAGTGGTTCTGAAACTTTTTTTTTTGCGATTTCTTGCGTGGCGGTTTCTGTTTTAATCGTTTGCGAACACGAAAACTTAAAAAATTTAAATTAAAAACATTTAATATGATATCTTTTAATTTTGATAAAAAATAAACAAGGATTATTTTTGTATCATTTTGATATAAAAATAAACAAGGATTATTTTACTGACAAGTTTATGCTTATATGAAAGCCCTGACACATAATCTACCTTCACTAAGTTGGCCGAGTGACTAGCGCTCTGGCCTTTAGTGCCACAGGTTTCGGATTCGAGTTCAAGCGGTGCCATGGATGTTTGCAGTGGTTCAGAATCCACTTTAAACCGTAGGTCCCATCTAATATGATCGTAGAACGTTGTCTTGAGGTTTAGTTACTTAGCGGCCTGTTGGCCAAGCGGCTAGTTATCTGGCCTTTAGTACCACAGGCTCCAGGTTCGAATCCTGGTGGTGGTAGGGATGTTTGTGAGGGGTTCGAATCCACTTTAAACTGTAGATTCCGGTCTGTTTAGCCCTCTTGTGCACAAGATGACTGTAGAGCGACAAACCAAACCAAACTAAACAAGTTTAGTCAGACTTCAGTCCTTGTGGTTCCTCGCTAATAGTGAAGCTGCATATCATCCTTAGCCATGAGCCAGTCGCCTGCGACGGGGTCTATTGAACCTGGTGTAGGCCTTCCTGCACCAAGGGGATTAATAATAATAACAACACCTTTTCTAAGTAATTTCTACCTATACAGTGCATTCTAAAAGTTCTAAGACTAATGGCAACACAGACCCCGTAACACAGAGAATATACTTACATTTATTATTAATCTTCTAAATGTTCTCCCACTTCAATTCAACCCTTCGAACGAGCGTATGGTTCCATAAACGCCTTCTGAACACCTCCATTGCGCCACAATTGAGTTTCAATTTCAGAGTCTTCTCTATCGATGGCAAAAGGACCTACTGCAAAGAATGACCGATGATGATGATCCCACGGTTTTGCAAAACCTTGTCACGGGAGTTAAGACTTGGTGTCTCTATAAAACGCCAAAGTGCTGAGGGGTCAAGTCTGAAAAGGAG